CAAAAAAGTAATAAAAATTATTTTGAAGATAAAATTTGTATTTTTTTCTTAAAATCAACGCCATTTTTATGTTTATTAATAAATTTTATTATTTTTGATGCCAAAAGATTGTCAATGAGTTATATTTTCATAATCTCTTTAAATTTTAAAAATCGGATTAAAATTGTTAATTTTGCAACCAAAAAACTAACATAAATAATATTTTTATTGAAAAAATGCATTTTTTTTTTCTTAAAATCAACGCCATTTTGTTGTTTATTAACCAAATTTATTTATTTTTATTTCCAACGATAGACAATTAGGCATATTTTATAAAAATTTTAAGTTTTTGGAATCGGACTAAAATTGTTAATTTTAAAGTAAAAAAACTAACAATAATTATTTTTCTATCAAAAATTTGCACTTTTTTCTTAAAATCAACGCCATTTTGTTGTTTATTAACAAAATTTATATATTTTTATTTCCAACGATAGTCAATTAGCCATATTTTATAAATCTCTTTAAATTTTTAAAATCAGATTAATTCTTGCTAGTTTTATAATAAAAATACTAACAAAAATCATTTCTCTCCAAAAAATATGTGGGTATCATTAACTTTTGTCTTCTCCCGGGTGACGTTGACATATTAACACGTCGTTCACGCATCTCAAGATTAAAGAAAGCATTTCCTCCGATTTCGAAGCGTATAATAAGCGATAAATCAGCGCGCAATTTTTCACACTTCCCTTCGCTTGCCACACGCATTCGCGCACTGTGACCATTTTTGGCCGGCGCGACGTGCACGGGGATTCTCATTATTTAAAATAAATTATCCGCCGCGGCGTGGCCGTCATCGGGTTTGATGCAATGATGCGTTGCGCCTCATTTCTTTTATTAATGTACTCAGCGTGCCGAGTGTGTGTGTCCGACTTCCGAAAGCAAGCGCGCTCGCCCGCTGGTTGCTTGTTTAATGTCTAAAAGGAAAAGCAGCCGAAAACGACGCGCACCAAATTTGGACCAAACGGCAAACAACAAAAAACACAACCCGGAGAGCGTTTCGAAATGCAATCGACATTCATTTCACCATCGACGTCTGCCAATATTTAAAAAAATGCGAAAATATAACCGAAAACTTTTATTTCCTGGATGATTAATTAATCCACGCACACAATGTGTTTAATTACTTCCGACTAGTAACAACAATTTATTTCCTTGTGTAGTTACTCATCTTTTCGACGACATAAAGTACATAAATGCGTTTTATTTTGAAGAAAAAAAGAGTAAAATTTCACTTTATCTCGTTTTAGTTACTAACAAGATTACGTCTGCGTCTACCTGCGCCAATAATGCCTCATTAATATTTATAATTAAATCAGAACGTGCACGCACTGCTCGTATTCTGGTGCACGAAGTGTGAAGTACCGATCACGACTGGCGTTACTCAATTGAATTGGATAGAATAATTTAACATATTCAAACAAACAAAAGCTTAAAGTGGAAAAAATGAAAATAGGAAGAGCTTTTATTCTTGCGACGAGAAGGAAAGTTTCCTCGTTGCATTTATAACTTATATTTATAATAATTTAATATATAATAACTCAACAATCTCCAGAGTGTCATCATAATAAATGTAGATATAAATTATATCCTACAAAGTGTTTTGTGACATATTAACGCCATCTAAATTCGAATTATGTAATGATAACCCCTTTTTGCACCCTTTGAGTAAAAATTTTTGTGATAAAAACTAGTCTATGTTCTTTTCTAGAATTAAATCTATCTTTATTCCAAGTTTTATCAAAATTACTTGAGTAGTTTTTGACTTATCGAAGAACAAACATACAAAACCCATACTTTTGCATTTATATCGAAACCTACTATATAATTTCCATTAGAATTGTAACCAAACAGTCGTTGAAAGGCCGATAGTTCGACGTACAGCACAATTAAAGGAAATGTTTAATTACAACACACGACAACCTGGCAAAAAGCGAAGAGGTCTGACATTATAATAGTAAGCTGTACCGCCGTAACATACGCTCACCAACCGCATTCAAAATTCAAATGTATTCAACTCTTTAAACCTCAAAAAACCTTTCATTTTGCGCGGTGCGTCGATATTAAATGAAATTAAATGTTACTAATGCCATTATAATATGTGTTGCGCCGTAAAATATTCCGCTGGTAGCCAGCAAGCAATAATAAACAACACTTGGTGAATCTTTATGCTCAACGTCGCTTCTATAATTGATCATTTTACATTTTGCGCATTTCGGGTTTGCGTGCGCCGAAAAATTAAATTCGGATTGTTATTAAATAGTTGCGCAACTATCATTTCTGAATGAATTTATTTACGTGCCATTATTATTAATTACACTTTGCGCAAATGATCATCAGCGCACGATCGGCGAAAATGATCGAGGATTAATCGCGCGTTAATTTCTTAATTTCATAACAAAGTATTCAGATTGGTTTCGAGTGCCCCGCAGAAATGTTTAGAAACAATTCGAGCGCAGTGAAGTGCTGGACACTTGCGATTGCGAGTGGAAAGCGAGCGCAAGTTTTATACGAAAAAAAGTAAAAGTAAATTCCGATCCGGCTTCCACGACTTCCCCAGCGCTAATTCTTCTTGTAAATGCCCCGAACTGTAACTAAACCTCATAACTAAGCAAAACTAATCTGCAGTAAACGGATAGAAATATTTCGCACGCGTGTTTACATAAAACTGGAGCGATTTTTGCACTTTTTATGAGTGCATTGTTTAATAAACGCTACAAAGTGTAAGATTTAATATTTTTCGTGCAAAACCACGGCCTAACAAGGCGTAAAATGAGTGCAATTTGTTTATTGCCTTATTTCTGGCATTTTTGCGCTTTTTTGCATTAATTAACATTTATTTATACAACCAATTAAAAAATAAATATTTAATTGCCTGTTTCTTGCAAACGCCGTAGTTTTTTTTTACGAAATTAGGTTACAATTCGGCACGCGCCAAACTATTCACTACTGCAATGCAATTATCGACACAAATGAGAGTAGTAATTATAAATCTTAGACTGTTGACCGGATTCTAGGACGACGCATTTAATTAGCATATTCTGAATGAATATTTGTATCAATACACTCATAAATCAATCAAAGTATGTAAAAATCGGTAAAAATTCAATCTTTCCAAATTTCCGTTTCCATTGTCCTTAAACTAGTTTAAAACGTAAAACATTGGTAATTTTTATGTAACAATCGGAGAAAATTATTTATTTATAAATGTAAATTTAATCCCCAAACTTGAATATCTCCAGTTGTGATTAGAGCCGAGCGAAATTATTACCTAATCGTGGACATTTTTCATCGCGTCGCGCTCGGCTGTAATAAGCAATAACAAAACTAATAAACTTATTAATTTAATATTTATGCACACGTTGATACCATTTGAAATGATTAATAATTGTAGTGCTGCTGCATGATGTCGAAAAATGTTTCCGATTTATTTATGCGCTCTAGCAAAGTATAGGTATCGCGGCCGAATGTAAATCTAAACGGCGGCCGTGTTGCACTCTAAAATCAGACAACTTTCTAGTAAAATTTAGATCTCGGAACGTGCAATAAACTCGGCATTTCGCAATGGATGTTGGTGCGCGCACCAGCCTACACGCACACGCTAAACTCGAGCACACATTTCATTCCAATATTTGATTTGATTTGATGTTCGATCGGCGCGATTACACAGATTATTGAGTTTTATTAATTGATATCATCGCGCAATCCGAGAGAAGAGTGTTAAATGCTTACGCTTTGATGTGCCGTAACAGTAACATGATTGCCACATCCTATATTTCACTTTTATTTTATTTTTTATTTCAACTTTTTCGGCACTTTGACAAAAATTGACAGAAAATGTGTCGTAAAAAGAAAATTTGTTGAAATTCAAATTTTAAACGCGAATAACTTCGGTACTTTTAGTCCTAGAATGACAATTGAGACCTTATTCAAAAGAGAATTAAATACAGAATCAATTAATGCAATAAATTTAAAAATGGCGTGTGTATTTTGAAAATTATAAGCCATTGAAGTTGAAAATAGCCATAGCGCCCATAAAATGCAAGAATACTAAGAAAAATGCATCAAAAATCAAATTAATTCAAGCTTAAAATCGAGATCAGACTAAAAGGCATCGATTAAACCCAAAATCATTAAAATCGGCCCACGGGAACCCTGTCAAACAAGCCTCCGAAGTTCCTTCAGCAATGAAAACTCGACCCTAACGGCAAAATGTGCAAATTACACAGAAAAAAAAAAGAAATATCTAAAACTGTAAAAGGGTTTCCACTTGTTTTACACTTTGTTAACCATAGCATGACAAAGCAAACAAAACTTATCGTTTTACATCGCATCACAATCAAGATAATATCATTCCCAGTGCGTACAACAGAATATAAAGTTGTCTTTTGTCATATTTTGTCTTTCTATAGCTGAGCGAATAAGTGTAGCATAAAAACGTGCACAAAACGCGAAGAATATCTCATTTCACGACACTTGCGGCTCGAGTGTTGGCTTAAACACGTCTTTATTGCGCGTTTTATTTACATGCGATGCAGAAACGGAAAGTTCTTCTCGCTTTCAAGCAGCATGTTGTTGCCCCTGCACCATTCACGAGACACGGTGACATAATTTTTTTCGTAAATACGTTTTTAATTGAAAATTCGCATGTCGCGCGAGCAAAAATGTTACATATTTTATCGCATAATAAAAACCTGCCAAAAAACCACTATCTACACCCGGCCGAATATTAAAATTTCTGCCTGAGATCATAATTAAATACGAATTTATGTCAACAAACTCTCAAATGCATGGCGACACGCTAATTACTTCTACGGCGTGCTTAATTATCGTTCATTTGTGCTGCATTAGAGTAGAAATCTAAATTTTCTTCCGATAAAAAATCGTGGGTTGAAAGTTGTGTAAAAATATTTAAATTTTCGCAAACTCCTTGACACGATTTAAAATCTTGCTTAATTTTTTACCTTGTTCGACTGCTAGATCCTCGCCCTGGAGGCGGTCCAATCGTGGACGAAATGGTCCTAGTGCTTCTAAGCTGCGCCGAGGTTTTATTCTGAGCGGCGGCGGCAGCGGCCAATTGACCAGCACTAGTCCTGGGTAGACGTTGTTGTTGCCTGGTGGCGAGCACACCAACGGCGCACAACACCACGAGCAGGCACCCGATGGCACCCCTCATGGTTACCCAAAAAATTTTATTCGAAAAATCCTCAAAACACACAAATTATCAGTCACTGCGCACTGAACTTGTAATTTTAAACTCGTCAACAGTCCTTTTTGAATGATAAAACGTGGATGTGAATAAAAATATCCTTATTATTATCCTTGCGATTTGGCACGTGTTACGCGAAGTGTGTGTTGTACTACTCTGCGGAGAAGTAGTCTGCGCCGTTACCGTTCCGAAAGAGTCGCGGCGTCAGAGTGCAAGAGTGGTGCTGGTGCGGCTGCCAAGCGAAGACTTTCACTCTTCGACGGTAGGTAGGAAGGCAGGGACACACACGCACGGTAAACGGGCGTCCTGCTGCCGTACGCCGTGCAGGTGCAAGAGACTGTGAGGATATGGAAGAGCATTCATTCAGAGATTCGCGCAAGATGAGTGTGTGCACGAGCATCACCGGCGGTAGACACGACGCAGACGTTGTAGGGAGCGTCAGAAACAACAAATTACACACTCGATACTAAAGCACACTTCATCAAACGATAATTTAATTGTATTTTATTGCAATTTGGTATTTAATAATTATCCGCGGCTGATAATTATTTTATTGCTTGAGTAATTACTTGTTTTTAACTTCTTTAACTTGTTTACTTGTTTATCTTTTTCGTTCCACAAATTTGTAAACTATTTTTTACACCCTGTAAGTTATATTTTTGCACCATACAGTAGCCTATGTTATACTCCTAAGTCCAAAATATGTCCAAACCAAATTTTATCAAAATTGGTTTGGTGGTTTTTGCTTGAAAACGACACAAACAAACATATTTTTCTAATTTTAGTTTAGATTTTTATATAAAGTGCAAATCATACACATAGCGCCCTCTATTGGCAATAATTTAGAATTTAGGTGATGACATTTTCTTTTGATGTAAAAGTGAAATGTGTGAAATGTTAGATTCAAAATTAAAATGTTAATATGCCAACCGGCATCGAATGTGTGAGTGGTACGAGTGCGACAGTAATGCGCTAATTACAACATTGCGCCATCGCGGTGCGCACCCGAAGCGGTTTTCGTTCAAAAACTCCAATTGAACTAAATCGACAACTACGACTAGCAATCTCAGCAGCGTATCATTAATAGCATGAAACATGACCAGTTGTCGAGGGTAGCTCGAGGCTATGGGTCGCTAACCACTCAAAACGATAAAATATTTACTTAAAATTAAAACTGCAATTATTACATTATTTTCCATTTTGATTTAGCCATAAAAATTAATCATTTAAACTTGAAATTCAAAAATTTTTAACAATTTTAAACTATTTACTTAAATTTTATTAGAATTTACTTGAAATTATTTAATACAAATTTACTTTTGTTAATGCAAATGTTCTGTTTGCTCTAGTTTTAAAATTAATGTTTAATATCATAATTAATTGCATGTTTCGAATAAACAAAAGCCATTAATGTCGCATTAATACATTGCCCCATCGAAATTCAATAAAATAATTCTAATTACGTTGATAAAAACCGCGCTTATGTAAGCGTCAGTGGCACACGGCGTTAATTAATAATAATAAGTTATTAATCCGCGTGTGTGCAACCCATGTAGAACACCGCGATGGTTTTTATGGCCATTCTCGCGATTAAAACGCGTTAATCGCATAAAAATGAGAAAATAAAAAATTTATATTGTCACGGTTGTATAACATGACAATTATATTCAATAACGATGATATTATTGCATAATAATTATAAATAACACAGGAGGTAATTGAGTTGTAAATTGATTTCACGCATATCCTATTAGTGTGGATAGATGTATGTTTGTTGCTCAATAACTGAAAAACCACTGAAGTAATTTTGATAAATTATTGAATAGAAATAGTTTTGACCTTGAAAAATGACATAGGCTGCTTTTTGTTGTAAAATTTTACTTGGAAATGTGCAAAATATGGGATGAAAGGTTGTATGAAGATTTTATGATAGTAATAGTTATGTAATTTGATTCTAGATGGCGCTAAGGTGCTCAATACTAACTGCACCATTAATAACTATTAAAATAAATCAAATTTTTGAAGAAAAATACAAGATTATGTCGCTTAACGAGTTGTAAATTTAAAAATTAAATATGAACAAAATTTGAAAGTTGTTGGCGCTTGCATTATGCCGTAATCCCTATTGATTTCCTTAACATTTGTCGAAATTGTCGTAGATTGTGTATTGAATGTCGCAATTAGCACATGCAAAGCCAAACGCGAAAACTACTGCCATCGATGATGATTACCCGCGACATTTGCGTTATATTCGCGCGCGGCACGCACATGCGACGCCGATGAGTTCCTGTCTTTCGATGGCACTTTTCGTAACATTTCCAACACATGTTATTTGATTGCAGTTTGTATGTTAATAGGTAATCACTCCCGACATCACCGGTAGCTGATGAATGTAATTACGGGGCATTAATCAAACGTCGTGCGTTCATCCTGCAATTGCAATAACTACAAAATTGTTTAAATTATCGGACAAATACAGCCATCAAATGCGCGTCACAGTCGTAAAATGATGTTTATTATGTTATTAAATAATTGCTGGTGGTAGAAAGTTACTTGAAAGAAAAATTTTATTTCAGTTAAGAAAAACTTGAGGAAAAACTGTTTTTCGGTAAATTCCACGCAAACAGGCATTTCTTTATTTTATATGTGCAATATTCAATACGTAAATACCGGCGATCATCTTCAATAAGCATATTTTTCGTTGCACAAACTTACAAACTATTTTTAACACCCTGTAAGTTTTATTTTTGCAACATGCAGTAGCCTATGTTATTCTCCTATGTCCAAACTATCTCCAAACCAAATTTTATCAAAATTAATTTAGTGGTTTATGCGTAGTGGTGTCACAAACATACCAAAAGCACTACATTCGCAATTATAATATTAGTTACAATAATTTTTGCGTCATAGCGAAAAATTAGCATCGCAATTTAAAATTCCGAAATTTCAGTCACGTTCTGTGTCCATTTTGAGTTTGAAGAGATGTCTCGAGAGCTTTTCACGACGCCGCACAACTGCGAAATCATTTGTAATGTCTCGTGTCTCATTTATTGCTTATTACGATAACTCACGAGCTGCAACTACTGCAACAACTGCAAGATTCCAAAAGGGAAGCATCCGAAACTGGAACAAGGCCTGTGACGAGCACGAATTTATAATGATTCTCATCATAACTGCACACACACCGATCATCTCTAATTCAAAATGCGTTAATCTCTATTTAATTTTTAATTTATCTCCACCGACCACAGAACAGGTTTGCACCGTTTTGTCCGTTTTGTAAATGAGTCGTAAATCGTGTGACTTTTGACTTTCGTCGTCTGCAAACCGCATATTTATCGCGTCTAATTGAATAAAAACATAACTAAAGTTGGAGTTTGTAAGATATTTCAGAGAGTTGAAAATGCGCAGCAGAACGAGTGAAATGTCTGATTTATTTTGTTGGTACGTGACTGATGTGGACGTGACTCGCGTTCCAACGATTGGAATCGTTGCGTTTTTCGCCCGAGAAAAACCCGAAACGATGATAAAAATCAGCTGCTGTGTGTTGTAAATGATTCCTATTCAACGACCGTCAAAATAATTGTCTTCTTGATTAGATTGCACAACAATATAATTTTCTCACACAAAGAACCACAATAAAACTTGATTTGTTTTATTTTATTCTAAGTAATTAATTTATTGCTATGAATGAGTGAATAACAATGACAATTTGTCATTGAGATGTTTTTATTTTATTGTACGGTGCGTATTTGATTCACTTAAGGGGTAACATTACGTGTTTAATAGTAAAAATGTGAAAGTTTGTATGTTTGTGTCTCAATAACACAAAAACCAATCAAGCAATTTTATTAAAATTTGTAATAATATAGTTTATACAAGAGAATAACACATAGACTACTTTTTATTATAAAAATAAATTTTAAAGGTGTTAAATAGATGATTGAAGTTAATTTGATTAATTTTTCACCAATATAATCCCCTTAACAATTCAATCATGTCTCTTGTCTCGTTTAAATGTTAATTAAATGAAAATTAACCTCTGCTTACACGCCATTCAAGCAATGCGAGTAATAAATAATGCGTTGGGACGAGGGAACACCAAAGAATAAACAATGAGAATTAAACATCCAATGCGAACACAGTGGGTCACATTCAATTTCCATTTTGTTAGAATTTAATAATAATAATTATGCGTGCTGCACAGCAAGATACGAGCAGTACGCGAAAATAGAAAGCACAAAGCAAGTTTATGTGAACCAAGATGACATTTGCTCACTTTTCGTGCCCGAAACTAATCAAGAATTTAATTTAACCTCAAAAATTACACGCAAAAAAGCGCTTAATTTAATTTAAATTGTTTCAAAGTCATAGAGCGTTAAATTGATGAATTGCGGGAACAAATTCGAAAACGTGCGACGTGCGCCACAGTTGAACATTTACCGGCGGTAAATTTGATCGATCGCTTCGGCGATTTATTGATTTTATCGATTTATTCAAATCGAAACGTAGAAATGAACGGTGGATCGTGCAAATCGATTACATCTTTCATCGTCCTACTGTGCGCACTTTTTCTTTCGCTTCTGGGTACATTCTTAAACTTTTTGAGTGTACTGCGCATGCGCAATAGCGCAAATCATACTAGGCGGAGCTTAGAGGTGAAAAAATCTAATTTTTCAGTTTAGATAAATGTTATTTTGACATTTAAAATGAAACATGTGTTACCCATTCAGAAGTAATAATTTACAACGGTAAAAACCAAGTAAATTAATATTTCTTGCACGTACGATTCGCGAATTTTAAATCTAAACCACAAAAAGTGTTTGAAACTAAATTAAATCAAACTAGAAATTGATTTTAATGCTGTGATTTGATTTTTTGTAATGCTCTGTATGTTTTTATGTATCGCCGCTGGTGACAACAAATTTAACACCTGAGTTTCGAGCGCGCGCAGACATATTAAACACCCACAATTCGCCGGCGCGCACAGTTTGGTGTCGGGTTAACGTTTTGTTAATATTTTTTCTATCGATACATCGAGAGCAAGCGCAATAAAAAGTCGAGCGTGGGCGACGCTAATATTTTGCGCAAATTACCTACACAGCCGAGTCGCTTGTAATTAGCATAATGTTCGTTCAACAATCATAATAATATTCCGGAGCAATTAGAAATTTCTTTCTCTTGGCATTCAGTTGTTTGTTCTAGAGTAGATGGGTGACTTTGACTTTTATCTGTTTTCTTCACACGTTATAAATATGTAGTAACTATCTATTGTGGCGGAGAAACAAAATAATTGAAGAAATTTT